GGAAGGAAGATTTTGAGTACATTAGGTATACTGAAAGAGAAAGCACAACCTATTATACAAACTGTACAGAAAGGTTGGGATGTAGCACGAGATGCAGCAAATCTTATTCCAAATCCTGAAACAAGAGGAAAAGTTCAAGGATGGATGGACAATGTAGGAAGACAAGCAGGAAACTACTATAACAAAGCAAATGACTACTATAACCAAGCAGGGCACTATATGGACCAAGGTGAAAGATTCTTTAACAGAGGATATAACCATGCACAACAGTGGGTAAACAACAACCAACCTCAACCACCTCAAACTTGGGGAATGTAAAGTTTTTTACTGAGATGAAATGAACAATACAGCTTTAAGACAAATGTGTTCAAGATGGATTTGTCGACTTCCAGCAGTTACACCACCACGTGTTTGTCAAGTTCTTCCTATACCTCAGGAAGTTTTAGACCGACTTAAAAAACAACAACAACCAGTTGAAAACAAACCAAACTAAAATTTTTTACTGAGATGAAATGACCGAAGAAGTTGAAACGGTAGATTTGACACCACAAACAAAAAGTTCAGAACCATTGTCAAAACCTGTCAAAGAACTTACAGATGAAGAGAAAAATTCAATAATAGAAAGTGCCAGGTCTGGAAATACAAACCCTAACTATAAAGTCACTTTTCATAGAAATGGAACGGCTAGTATCTCAAAAAAGAAACAGACTCTCACAAATAAAATATTGAAGTCTGAAGGAGCTTTCGAGACAACAGATGGAAAAGTTTACTTCACTGACCAACAGTTCATTATAGAACATCTCATTGACTTAGAGTCGAAATATTCTAAACTTTACAACAAACACAAAAAGTTGAAAGGAAAACAAAAACAAATGGCATATGATATTTATGAAGATGTTGACGACACAACCATACCTGCAGGTGAGGTAAAGTCAGAGGAACCGAAAAGTGACGAAAAACAGATAGAAGAAGAAAAACCAAAAACTGAAGATAAACCAAAACCAAAGTTTAGTTTCCAAACTAAACCAAGTCAACCTTCATTAGCTGGTATGGGTTGGCGTCAAAGGCTTATGGTAGCAGGAGGTTATGTAAAGTAAAAAAACATTTTTTTATTTTTATTTGAAATGTACGCTGAGTTTGTTGGAGAAGACCGTTGGGAAAACATAGACAAGAAAGTCTCAACAAAACATAGACAAGAAAGTTCATGAGAAATTAGATGAAGAAGTCTCAACAAAACATAGACAAGAAAGTTCATGAGAAATTAGACGATGAAATATGAAATGGCATACCATTTAAAACAAAACATTTTTCAAAAAAAATATTTTTTTATTTTATTTGAAATGTACGCTGAGTTTGTTGGAACAGACCGTTGGAAAACTTGTTTGTTAGATGAGAAATATGAAATTCACTGTTGTGAGCCTTTTGAAGTTAGAAACAAAAAGACAAAAAGAGTTTTAAGCGAATGGGAGGGAAATGACGGATATGCTATGATGAGGATGGGTGGAAAAAACTATTTTAAACATGTTGTCATTGCAACTCATTTTATACCAAACCCTAACAATTTACCTTTTGTAGACCATATAAACCGTATAAGAAACGACAATAGACTTGAGAACTTGCGTTGGGTCACATGTTCTGAAAACAATAAGAACAAAGGCAAATTTCGAGATATTGTATTCGAATTTGTCGACGAACTAGAAGATGAAACAATTGAAATTACAGACTATGGCGAGCATACGTTTGAGTTTTACTACTATAGCGAAGAACAGGACTCTTTCTACTTTTATACCGGCGTAAACTATAGGAAATTACAAGTATATTTTACTAAGGAAGGCTATGCTTATGTAAGCACTAGAGATACAGATGGAAAACACGTTCATATATTTCTCAACAAATTCAAGAAGCTATATGGCATACCATTTTAAAACATTTTTTAAAACAGTATATTTTTACATATATTAAATGTTTCAGGTTGAAAAACAAAGAACAAAAGTAGCAGATACAAAACCGTTAGACTATATCTTTACAAATGCCGGTAGAAATATTTCAGATGAAGAAATTTCATCCCGTACTTACAGGTTTGACTATCCAATTCGTTGGCTTCAAAGTCCTTCAGATGCAAAGGCAATAGGATTTAGAAGAGTTTTGTTTTCAAAAAGAACGAACGCTTTTATGTTCGCAGTATATTTTCATGGGCAATATAAAGGTTCTGATGGTCTAATAGACAAATTTGATGAAATGAGAATCTTTACAATTCGTTCAGACGAAAACCTTGAGAAGACTCTAAATGACTTTCAAACTCAAATGAACAAATATTATTGGGAATTTCAAGAAAAATACGACTCTTTACTAAATGGAACATACTATCTGAAACTAGAATACAACAAGATGAATTCCACCGTTTCATTTCAAAAGATTGAAATTAACCCTCCAAGAGATACACAGTTTTTATTTTGGGAAGTAGACAAACGTTCTTGGGCACAATTTCTTCGGTTACTAAACCAGAACGAACCATTACCACCTGACGGTCCGTTTAAATTTATACGCCCACCAACAGATTTGACAGTTTATAAAAACGTGTTTGACCCTCAAAATGTTATGTGTCATGCAAGTTTCAGTTCAAGCAACAATAGTTTTCTATGTATTGGTAAGGACTTTTATGACTTTGCTTCTAAATTCTACGAACCACCTAGTAACAGTTTCTCTGACTTTCAAGTTTGGTTCACAACAAATGGTGTGCAGCATATTATTCCATTGTACTATGACTTTTATCTCGAATTGTCTTTCATATATAACTACGGAAAAGTGCTGAAAAAGTATTGAATGTGAAGATATTAGAAAATAACATTTTTTCTAACATCGTAGAAAACTCATGAAAACAATTTATTTTTGTGAATATGTAAGCGGCTCATAGCTCAGTGGTATGGGCTACCTCGTTAAAGGCGTCGAAGACCTCGGTTCAAATCCCGATTCGCGCAGGTTTTTTCCTTTTATGCAGTGAAATTTCATGTACATAGGTTACTTTGGTGTTAGACCCTAGTGAAGAAAATAGAACGATATAAGTTTACATTTGTAAGGTTACTTTGGTGTTAGACCCTAGTGAAGAAAATAGAACGATAGGAGTTTACATTTGTAAAGTTGGACGATAAAAATCTCTGCTACTAGCAGTACTGCTACTGTCAGTAAAAGTACTGCTACTGTCAGAAAAAGTACTGCTACTGTCAGAAAAAGTACTGCTACTGTCAGTAAAAGTACTGCTACTGTCAGTAAAAGTACTGCTACGAGCAGTAAAAGTACTGCTACGAGCAGTAAAAAGGAAAATTTGAGAGGGTTTTCGACGATAAAGTACTGCTACTGTCAGAAAAAGTACTGCTACTGTCAGTAAAAGTACTGCTACTGTCAGAAAAAGTACTGCTACTGTCAGTAAAAGTACTGCTACTGTCAGTAGCAGTACTGCTAGGAGCAGAGATTTTTATCGTTGTGGTCCGACGGTTAAGCCACAAACGAATGTCCGACGTCCCACCAACTGAGTCCATTCCCAAACCAGAGGAACCTAAAGCACCAGCCCCTGCACCTCAGTTCCAGCAAGTCCAATCTCAATCCAAATTACTACCAATTCCAATACAAATCGAAGAGAGACCAAGAGTTCGAAGAAGGTCTGAACCGCTTACGCAAAGAGTATGCTACAGCTCCAACCCTTGGTTGTTCCAGCAATTCCAATCTCAATCCAAATTACTACCAATCTCAATCCAAATCGAAGAGAGACCAAGAGTTCGAAGAAGGTCTGAACCGCTTACGCAAAGAGTATGCTACAGCTCCAATTGAGAGAAAGTTGTTGCTAAATTCAGTAAAAATAATGTTTAGGTGAAGAGGTGACATCTCACCCGTTTTCTCACCTCTTTTCTCACCTCATGAATTTTCATGAATTTCATCGTAAATGTTTTGTCGAAACTTCTTCATCGTAAATGTTTTGTCAAGACTTCTTCGTAAATGTTTTGTCGAAACTTCTTCGTTTATGTTTTGTCGAAACTTCTTCATCGTAATGAGCGTAAATGACCCAAAAATAATGTTTAGGTGAAGAGGTGACATCTCACCTGTTTTCTCACCTCCTTTCTCACCTCATGAATTTTCCCGAAATAAAAATAAAGTTAGTTTTATTTTTTTATTTTTTTTTATTTTGTATGTAAGGACAGATATGTCAGTCGAAGCAAAAACATTCACGAACAAATATAATGGCGAAACATTCACGAAAGGCACTTATAACGGTATTGAAGTCTTACGTAGAGACAAGGATGGTTATATAAATGCAACAAATATGTGTCAGCAGTTTAGGAAGGACTTTAGAAGGTTGTTGGAAAATAAGTCCTGGGAAGAGTATTTTGAGGCATTTTGTGAAGAATATACCAACCCGCGGAAAACAGCGGGTTGCTTTTTATACAAAATTCATGCAGGAATTCCTGATGAAATCAAACAGGTTAGAGGAATGTATGTAGACCCAAGACTTGTAAACTATATAGCAATGTGGGCTTCTCCAAAATATTGCATAGCAGTTGGAAAAATTATGGACTCCATAGACAAGAAAGTTCATGAGAAGTTAGATGAAGAAGAACTCGAAGATACAGTAGAGAATGCTAAACCTTTGTTCGAACAAGAAGTTGGAAAAATGTGCGGAAAACAAATAGAACATGAACGTGAGATATGTTCTGGTTATAGAGACTCTCCATACGAACTAGACCAATGGGAACAAGAAGATTTAAAGAGAGAATTTAGAGAATATGAACTCGCTAAGATAGCATTTGAAGCTGCAGAAAAGAAGTTAAAAGTTTGGGGTCGTTTTGTAAAAAAATATTGTGAGTAAATGAACCATTTATTTTTATTGAATTCAGCAAAAATATAATTTAGGTGAAGAGGTGAGATGTCACCCGTTTTCTCACCTCTTTTCTCACCTCAGGAATTTTCATGAATTTTCCCGAAATAAAAAATAAAGTTAGTTTTTTTAAAAAAATATTTTTTATTTTTATTGTAAGAACATGTTAGCAACTACAGCACCAAACTCGTTAGTCATGAATCCAACATCTATGTTGGTAGAGATGAAAAACTTCATTCCTTCTTCATATACTTTCGAAACAAAAATCCAGAAGATAAAGCAGGAATTGTTAACAAGTAATTTAGACTGTACCGCACAGGATGAAACAAATGAACAGTATCTTTATGAAATGCAGGACATTATTGACCATTTACCCAAATTGCCTGAAATTCAGCAGCAAAAACTCACTATTCCCGAATTTGACGAAATTGAAGTGAAACCAACTGACTCAGTAGAAATAAAGAAGTTCATACGAAAGGTAAATTATGAATTCCTTGGTTTTCATTGCAACCATAAGGTTATGGACAAAGATTGCGACATGGTATATAAGAACATCTCTGACATATATAAATCTGGGGAGTTTAAGACATACGACAACTTTGTTTCGTTAGTTGCTGAATGTGTATGGCAGATAAGAGATAAAGATAGAAGAGGTAAGGTATGGAATGAACAGATAAAACCCGCAACTTTTGAGTTAAAGAGAGCAATTGACGCCTTAGTTGTTTTAGCAGGTAAGGTTTCAGAATATAACGCAAAAATGAACCCACAATGTTCAAAATGTAAAGCAGCAATGAGGAAATATAACTACTCCGTCAAAGAGATAGAACGTATGCGAAACGACTATGCTGACTTAAAGAAAGAAGTAGAGAAACCAGCAGAAGATAAAATGGACATGTTGACATTTCTAAACAAAAACTATCCAACAGCTGACGATTTCCTATTATCTGACGTCAAGAAGAAGTATAAAGAAACTTTCGGTATCGTTAAAACATTCGATGTACTGACAGAAGAAATAGAAGCTACAAAACTGTTTAGGATTTCAAATATACATCGTACAATTCATGTAAAACGCTTATAAAATAACAGGTGAGAAAAGAGGTGAAAAAACAGGTGAAATCTCACCTCTTCACCTAAACATTATTTTTTGCTGAATTCAGCAACAAAATTCTGAGTAAAATAATTTTTAGGGCATGTGTCAAACCGTTGAGTTTTCACAAAATTTAAAAAATAACTGGGGTGAAAAATTAGGTGAAAAAAGAGGTGAAATCTCACCTCTTCACCTAAAATATATTTTTATTGAATTCAGCAACAAATTTCATGAATTTCCTCATATGTTTGCTACCCTCGGAAAACCGAGGATAGAGATTCCATTCGAAAATCGTAAAAAATTGCGACCCGCGGAAAACCGAGGAACGCCTAAAACACATGAAAATCGTGAAAAATTGCGACCCCGACTTTTACAGGGGTCGCCTAAAACACATGAAAATCGTAAAAAAATGACCAAATTTCATGATATAACTGTATCTTTTATACAAGATAGAAAAAATAAAGTTAGTTTTATTTTTTTTTATTTTTTTATTTTGTATGTAAGAACAGGAAATGACAAACACTGAGTTTGAAACAGTTAAAAAGATAGACAATGACACCAAAGTGGTTAGAATTGGTGATTTAAACGTAAGATACTCAAAGAAATACAAAAAATATTCCTTGTCAGACATTCTAACACTATCTGAAAAGAAAACATCCCACGACTGGGTTAGAAATGCTTCTACTCAGAAAATTTTGACAAAAAATCCTGAGCTTATGATATCGGTAAGATTCTATGGAACAAGAACATATCTTATAGACAAAAGTCTTATACCACTAGTTTTGTTCTGGATTGACCCAGTTGTTGGATATAATTTCATAACATATGGTTCATTCGATACTGAACGTTGCAGTGAAGGCTTACTTTACATCGTTCAGAAACCGAAGGACTTCAATACAAAGAGATATAAGATAGGAAGAACATATAATATAACTCAAAGATATGACAGTACAGTCAATAGAGTTAAGGTTGTGTTCGTTAACGATATGAGAGCTGCTGAAACAGAACTGCTTGAAAAGTTTGAGAAAATGTATGGTGCTCCCACGAAAGGTAAAGAAACGTTTGAAGTAGATGAGATAGATAGTGCTATAAAATTATTTGACGAAGTTGCTGAAAAATACATGTAAAGCGTTTATTTTTGGTCTTTTGTGAAAGTCAGAAAATAACGCTAATTTTATTTTTTTTTATTTTTTTATTTTGTATGTAAAGACAGATATGTCAACAACCGAGAACACAACAACAGTTATAGTCCATGAAGCTATAAATGAAGAATATGAGTACATACAGTATAACAAACAGTTACGTCTCATTCGTTCTGTCAAAGACGATATGTACCAAATGCAAAGTATTTTGACAGCATGTTTTGCTCCAGATACTAAGAAACCACAAGACTGGTTTAGGAACCAAAGCACACAAGAACTTTTGAGCGAAGCACAGCGAGACATACTTTTTTCTGAAAACAGTGAAGAACAGCGACTACGAGAAAAATCTTACTCGCCAAAACTCTATGAAAACAGTGAAGAACAGCGAGTAAGTAAAAAACCCCAGTCGCCAAAACTCTATGAAAATCGTGAAAAATTGCCAAACGGTTTGAGAGGATATTATGTACATAGACTTCTTGTAAATGCTGTTGCAATGTGGGCTTCGCCTCGTTATGCTTGGTATATTTACAGACTTCTTGACGAAATTCATAGACAAGAACGTGAAGAGATGGAAAAGAAACTTCAAGCAAAAGACAAAAGCATTCAGAAAAGAATACCACGTTCGGTACCAAAAGGAAAGGAAAAGAACTATAAGTATATGATTTATACTGAAGAGATGGAAAATGAAGAAGATAAAGATATGGTTATGTTGCATTTAGTCAGAAGAAACAACAAAAGCTTTTACGACCTTGCTAAGATTTACAAATCTGACAGAAATTGGTTCTATCGCGAAAACTTACCGATTTCAATGACACCGAATGAAGATGTGAAACAAATAGTTCAAGATACGTTACCTCAAACACACTATGATATTAAAGGTTGTACAATTCTTACCTTCAAAGAAGATTTGCCATTGTTAAAGGAAAAAATAACAGAGTATTTTGACAACTTCAAACAAGCAGAGTAGATGAACCATTTATTTTTCAAGCTTGACTTCAGATGGCTCAGGTAGCTCTATAAGGTAAATTGCCTTGTCAAATCCTTCTGGCATTCCGAGTCCTTCCTTCCGACATTCCGAGTCCTTCCTTCCGACAGGAAAAGTTTTTCTTTCCGACAGGAAAAGTTTTTCTTTCCGACAGGAAAAGTCCTTCCTTCCAACAGGAAAAGTTTTTCCTTCCAACAGGAAAAGTTTTTCCTTCCGACAGGAAAAGTTTTTCTTTCCGACAGGAAAAATTGTTCTTTCCGACAGGAAAAATTTTTCCAGTTGTCCGTCCGTAAACCATTCAAATTTTCGAAAATTGAGAACTTTTTGGTCGAACTTCAGAAAAGTTTTTCCTTCCAACAGGAAAAAATTTTCCTTCCAACAGGAAAAAAATTTCCTTCCAACAGGAAAAGTTTTTCCTTCCGACAGGAAGAGTTCTTCCTTCCAACAGGAAAAGTTTTTCCTTCCAACAGGAAGAGTTCTTCCTTCCGACAGGAAAAGTTTTTCTTTCCGACAGGACACAAACGAATGTCCGACGTACCACCAACCGAGTCCATTCCAAAGCCAGAAGAACCGAAAGCTGCAGAACCACAACAGACTAAGACCAAACACTTACATTTTCAAGCTTGACTTTTTACAATTTGAACTTTGTTCGCGTAGATGTGAATTCTGAAAGAAGTATGAGGGTCTTGTATGACTTTGTACTTCTCCCATAGTTCATGTCTGTCAAACTTACCTGCCATGGACTCTTTCATAAGTTCCATGAAATCGTCTTCGGACAATCCAGGGAAAAGTATGATATCAGTAAGTATTCTTTTAACATCCTTACTTAAACTCTTTGCTGTCTGTACACAAATGACAACTGAGATGTTAAAGTGTCTGAGCTTCTTAAGAATTCGACACATGTCTTGTTCTCTGTTCTTTAACAAAGGATGAGAAGCAAAGTCATCTAAGATAAGAAGACATCTGTGAGGGTAAGTCTTCCAATCGTAAGATTGCAATTTCTTCGAAATGTATTCTATCTCTTTCTGTTTGTTTCTGAAGTGTTTCTTCTCTAATATTCTCTGCATTTCCTCATTTGGGTCTTTAAACTTAGAATTTATATACTCATTTATAGCATTGTACTTCAAAACTCTTCTTTGGTACTTCTTTATCCAATCTAACAACTCAGAGTCTTTTATACATACTAACTTAGACTTTTTTATAATATCTTTGAACGAATTGACGGTTTGGTCAAATTGACCAGAAGTACTACAAATAACAACTAACTCATAGAATGGGTTCTTCTCATCTAGTTCTTGTTGTTGTGCAGCCATTTTAAGATAAGTGAAAGTCTTACCCGACCCAGGTGGTGCGATTAGACCTGTTATACCATTCTGAGCAAATAAGAACTTGTCATGTATAGGCTTTATCTGAGCATTTTCCAACTTCCTCTTGTTCTTGTTTAAAACATTCTCAAATTTCTTGTCAATGTCAGCAAACTTTTTTTCTAACATATTTTAGAAAAATTAAAATTTTTATCTTTTAGAAAATGTCTAGCGATTTCGCTATCTATATTCGAGACAAACTTTTCGACAGCAAAACATCTGTAGACCATAAAATCTTACATAGTGTAAACAAGAAAGGGGAATTTGTTCTAAAGTTCTGTTTCTGGGAATATGACAAGAACCATAAAACATTAAGCAGAGCAGTCTTAAAATTTGTCAATGACAGACTTGTTGACAGAGATGACGCCGATTGGAAAGATGAAGTCCAACAAAAGTTCTTAGAATGCAAAGAAGACACATGCGCTGTTCTTGAAGATGAAATAGAAAACAGAATAGAAGAGCTATTAAAGGACAAAGACCTTTTACAAAAATATGGTTCTGAGAAGTTTGACATAACTCCACCAGAAAAGAAGAAGAAGAGAGAAAAGAAAGAAAAGAAAGAAAAGAAAGTAGAAGAAGAGAAGAAAGAACCTGAACCAGTTCCAGAGAAGGTGAGATATGACATGTAAAAATAAAATTTTATTTTTAGAACATTTCTGGGTCAATGTCAATGTTCTCTTCCTCTTTAGGAGCAAACACTGGTTTAGACTCTAAAATCTTTTTACCCAATTTACCTTGAACTTCAACTATCTTAGACTCATAATATTCATAGTCGTCTGCTTTCTTTGGTTCATAAGGTATAACAAGTTTGTATGCTTTACCTTCTTCGAGTTTTGAGAACTTTCTGTCAAAATTTTCTTTGACTGCTAACAAACCTTCTATGTCTAAGTCTTCAAATTTCGCACCATTTTTAGTCACAATAGCAAACTTAACTGGTTCGATGTTCCAAACTTTGCTGAATGAAGACTTTTCAAAATGGTAGAAGTAAACATTCAAATAAGCGAATGGGTCTAGTTCTTCTTTGACTTCTGTCATGTACTTGTTTACTGAGATGAATTTTGCCATCTTTTCTATCGGATAAAAAAATGTTTTTTTTAAATTTACTCAGAAAAATTTTTCTTTGTATATACGCCATTCTGTATGTCTAAAAGATTTTTGACATTTGCCAAGAATGTTCGTTTAGACGCTGTCATATAACCATACTCTTGACAATATTGTTTATACGAATCGTACAATGACCTTTCATCTAAACACTCAAAGTCAGTTTCATCTATGAACAGTTCATATACACTCTTGTTTGCTTCTAACAATGTTTGTCTCTCTTCGGTATGTGGAATTTGTCTTGGATTGAACTTAGAAATATCTAATGTCATGAAATATGAGAACAAGTGGTTGTAAAAGTCAGATGTCAAAGTTTCTGCTAAGTCGTCAAAATATTCTGTATCTTGCATATGAGAATCTGACGTTCTGACAACTACATATCTTCTGTCAGAACTTTCTAACTTCATCGGAACGGCATTGTTTGAAACCATAATGAAATTTGCAACATTTTCAAAAACTCTTTGGTCTTTATATTTTTCTTTCAACAACTCCAACTTTGTCTGTTATAAGACTCTTCAAAGCATCTGAGTTCAAAACTTTTGTTGTATCTATACTTTGAAGTTCGTTACATACTATAAAGTTTCATATTCTCTATTGAAGAGTTAAATTTACCGCAGATGTTTTCTAAGTTTGTCATATTCGGATTCGAATAGCCCTCTAACAGTTTGCACAAGATATCTGTAAAGAAAGTGTTCTTACCTGTTCCTTGTTTTCCAATTACAATGAGAGCAGTTTCATTTTTAGCACTTGGATGTTGTAAGATGTTTGCAAACCAACATAAGATATACTCATAGACTCTTTCGTTTCCATTGCATATAATTTCTTTGACATGGTCTAACCAAGCTTCTATAACATTTTCTTTCCATTCTACTTGTTCGTATTTATATCCAGTGAAGATAGAATAGAAGTTTGGAGATGGTGTATAGAACTTTATACCACGAACTGAAAAATCTTCAAGTTTTGACAATAAGATATCCCAAGCATCTAACATCTTCATACCAACTTGTACGACTTTTATTTTCTTAAGTTTCTGTCTACATTCTTGTTCTGAAACTATTGTCGCTCTTGGTTTGTTAAAGACAACATCCCATTCTTTCATGACATAACATTCTGGGGCAGAGTCGACATAAATGACTAAACGTTTCAAATTCTCGACTGCTTTGTTATAGTCTCTAAATGGACACATATTTCTGAACGCTTGGAAGTCATAAAAATCTGAAACGTCTATTCTGTACATTTTTATAAAAATAAAAAAAAATATTTTTTTTTATTCTTGACTTTGTTGTTGCATTTGTTCCATTTGTTGCATTTGTTGTTCTTGAGCTATTTGTTGTTGAAGTTGTTCTTGTAGTACAATACTTTCACCAGTTGCATTCTTCCAATTCGAAACTTTCTGCCGTCATTGACAAATACATAGGACATAAAAGTTTTACAGGAACAAAGTTTGCGTCAACTAAGGTTAAGTTTATGTTTGCTAAAGTGTTTGAGTTTACTAAAGCTGAAAATTCTGCATTCGAATGAACAATAGGCAAACCAGCAGAGAAAGTGGTTGTTTATACGCATGAGTATCTTTTGGTCATAGTAGTTTCTGTCGACATTCGAATAGCACTTTGAACCTAAGTTTGAAACAATATATAAAATAGGTGTACTTAAAGTCAATGGAACAGACAAACCTTGTATGACACCTTTTCCTGTTATAGGAAACTGTTGGTAGTAAAAACCAGATATAAGTTTTGTATTATAGCTCATATCGTTTATACTAAACTCAGTCGGACATCCAACATAATGAAACCTGCTCTAGTTGCAGCACATGTTACATCCGTCCTTAAAGTATTAAATAAGTCAACAAAACCTGTTGGTGGTATATCTGAGTAAGTATCTTCAAAGAAGTATTTTTTACCATTCACAACAACAAAGTCTTCTGGTGTCAAAAGAGCAAAACAGGCTTTAGTCGTCATCGTGTTTAAGGTTAGTTTACAATATCGTCCTTGAGGACTTTGTAAGTTTGTTGTTATAGAATTATATGACTCAGGGTTTTTAGTCGTAATAGTATAAACCACTATGTCTTCTGCCATTTACATATATTTAAAAGTTTTTCTGAAAGTGGAGAAGAACTTCATCTAAAACTTTCACATGGCGTTTCTTGAAGTTCTCTGTCTAAGAAGTTCAAATACTTTGTAAAGACATAGAACTTTCCTTTGTCTACACGAACAAACAAAACAGGGTCTTTCATATCGTTCAAAAGTGTGTAAAGTCCTTTACATGAAATAAAGTCTATATTATTTTTCTTCAAACATCTTTCAAGAAGTTTTGACATTTTTACTTAGCAAACAAACTTTAATGAAATGTTGTGGTCGTCAAATATTTTTATGACGTCTGGGAAACTATATTTTAAGTTCAACGTTTCACCTCCTTTCATAACGTATATCTTGTCAATGACATTATATGAAACACCACAGCAAGCAATGTCGGGTTCTATTTCTTTGATGTTTATATCGTCTGCCTCTGTCAAAAGTT